TGCATGGGGCGGTCCATTGAAACGAAACCAGATGAAACCAGTGCACTGAGTTTCTGCCTTCTTAAGCCTTCTTCCTTTGCTGGAACTTGTGAGGACAGAGAATCAGTCTTTTGCTTAAAAGAGTAAGACTGTCTTTGGATTGATTATATACTACGAAAGATGGACCTTTGCACAACCCATCATTTTCACACATTTCAAGATGGATCTCTTACAGCATCGAGCCACCTCCAGCAGAGAGGTGAAGTCGAGACAAAAGCGCGTGACGCGCTACGCGCGCGTTCCACTGTTCCCACGGACCATGTGCTCGCGTTCGCCGCGTCGAGATGTTCCAACCAAAAAACGGCCAGAGTCTGCAACCCTTCAGACCGAGTCTGCGGCCAAAACGTTCCGAGTCTGCACAGGTGAACTGAACTGTTTACACCGCACTGACTCGGAACGAACTGTGACAGACGAACTGCACAGACCGTGTTTTTCGTCGCACTGTGATGTCGGAGTGATGCACTGGCAGTGAGTCACCCCCCCATAGACAGGTGATTATGGCGAAAGCCTCCATCTATGAAGAGACTTCACCCTCCACATGGAGGTTGAGGGATGTTGAGGGGGTTTGATGACTCAAGAGATCTACAGTCTACAGATTTCATGAAAAACTCTTCCAGTCTACCCTCTTGAAAGACCCAATCCCTCGCAAAGGATCAGGCCTTGGGACTCTTCCAGTCTTCAGTTCGTTCTGTGCTTCACGAAGCGTGCTGTTTTCTATGCCGAGTTCAGCAGAGCGAAGGCGTCGGCACAGGGTTCCCGAGCAGAGCGAACTCAGCGTCGGCGCAGGTGCACCAGATTCCCAACAGCTACATCTTTGACTTGATTCGAAGCCGCAGGGCGTGCGATCGACGTTGACCAGTCTGACCGGGCGCGCTTGCGCAGGCCATATATACAGACATCACCTGAATATTCAGTGTCCAGGGGAAGAAGACCAGAGACACAGACAACAAAGGGCCGGGGTCTCAAAACTCAACATGGTCCCGATAATTATTTCCAACTCACGGTGTTAGTATCATAACTTGTATGTGACCAGCACAAAGGCATTCAAATTCCGGCTGTAAATGGGACATCCTTCTTTTTGGGTCGCAGTTTTTACCTGCTGCTCCGACATGTGCCTTCTGTCTGAAAGGGTTGCTGTTTGGATGAAAACAAGCATGTCAAAGCCACAAAGTGGTTAAACAGCGCTCTGTTTCCACTGGGATCACTCACTTCCTCAGGCCTTTAGGCTTTCCAAAAGCAACTCGTGTCCCAACCTCGAGAGTTCTTTCTCTCGGGCCTCCAGTTGGGTCACATTGGCACGGCCCGAAGCTACCGAAGGATACCGCAGGATACCGAAGGGCTCACTCTTCCATTCGTGGCCAGTTCGTTCTTTTGCACACCATGGAAGTTCCGTGCCCGTGCGGCTGTCATACCTCGTCCTCCGTGCGTCGGAACGTGGCAAAGGAATGGCACGACGTTGCTGTCCTTGATCTTGAGCGACCTGCTCGGCCGTGGCATTGGCCCAGTGGCGGCCCGCCATAGCATCGCCTCAGGCGAGGGCAGCCTTATTCGTGGGGCACCATGGGAAGGGGCAGGTTTGGCAGGCCAATGCACGGAACTTCTTGCATTTGTTTTTTCCCTGGTTTAGGAGGGGCTTCAGGTTTCAAGTGATCTTCGGGGCTTCAAGTTTCGCAACCTCCTTCTTGGTGTGAAGGAGCACCTTCGGACTGACGTGGGGTCATAAGATGTCATAAGGCAATGATGGACCTTGAGAAGTGATTGGAGCATGATGGAGCTAGATGCAACGAACAGGTCGACATTGACATTGAAACAGTGACTAACAGTGACTAACAGTGACAGTTTACCACCCAGTTCTTGCCATGGCAACTGCGATCTTGATACACTGCAATCTTTATTTCTCATGCCGCCCTGCGCAGCGCAGCGCCGATTTTCCAGGTGGGCAACACGGATTTGGTGAGCAACAATTGCTGGTGAGTGCCGTGTGCATCGTCCTTTATGCCCCTGGGCATGAAAAACGGAAGGAGTCATGGGTGTTTTGTGAGACATGTTTTGCGAATGAGTGTGCTGTTTTGCATGTGATGAGTCATCGGCACGACGCTTTTCGGGAAGATGCATCTAGAGAAAGGGGGTGAGGCGCCGGTATTTGCACTTGGATGCGGATGAACATGGGGAGCATCGGAAGATCAATTGAATTATATAGATCGTTCTCGTGCACCCGGATGGGCCACACCTTTTTTCATTCTTTTTTCCACAGAGTCCAAAGGTGCTACCAAAGCTGCCCGAGTGCTGAACCGTTCAATAAGCATCTCTCAGATGTTTTGGATCATATGTATCCCCAATGTGCTGGGCAACCTGTGTCATTTACCAGCTCTAGAAAGCATTTGACACCCAATTAGCTCAGTGAATCAGAGGACTCCTGTAAAAGTTTGTTCACCACTGAGTCAAGTGACTCGACGTCAATGCTTTGATGTCCACTTTTTCAATGCCTTGATGACATCTTCACAATACCCATGTCATTTCGCTGGCTTCGCGATGGAAACCAGAAACGAATTCACAGGCTGCCCATGTCATTTCAGAGCGAATTCTCAGGAGGCGGTTCATGTCTTGACCCTTGCTGCTCGGTGTCAGATTGGTTTGCTGTCGGGGATGTCCGAAGAAGAAAGATTGCTTTACCAGGCAGTTAAACATGATCAGCTCGGTAAGGAAGCCTCCAAGTCTTCTGGAAGAGGTACGTTCTAGAGAAGCGTTAGGACTTTTCTTTACGTATTGCTATTCCTCTAGATGTTTTAGACAGATTGGAACATGTCAACTGATATGTTTGTTTCCTTGCGGGATTTTTCCACATGTGCTGCCAGTCACCTGCGCTATCCTGCAACCGCAGGAAGAGGTGCCAAGCAGGAATCAAGATTTCTTTGGGTGAATGTTTGTTCCAGGTGTCGCTTTGGGAAAGGAACATCCGGGCGGCCCATCTCATGAGCTTCGGGCTTCTTCTTGGAGCAAGTACTATGGCTAGGGCTAGGGATAGAGAAGAATTCGACCTGCGAAAACAGTGCACGAACCAATCCAATGCTTTGGGGCAGGGGTATGCTTGGGTTACACCACTGAGGACACCGCGAGGGAAGCTTTCTATTGGCATGTTTGCATGGGAAGCTCTGGCTGTCTCATGGTACGGCTTCTCTTTCATGGCACGACCACGAACCGACGAAGCTGCCCAGGAAAAGCAGGGAGACACCAAACGCAGCGAGGAGGCGGTTCGTGGGTGTTGGGTCTGGTCCAATGGGTGTTCCGTTTCTCCCAGCGGTTGGTGCGGTTGGTGCGGTTGGGGCCTCTGTCTCGGTATGTGGCTTTGGAAGTTGGTGGTTTCGAGCAAGCTTGAACTCAATCTCAGTTTCAAACCATCACCTCAACTCATGGGCCTGGGTCAAGGCTAGATGCCCACAATGAAGTTGAATGATCATTTTCGAAGTTCTTTTTTTTCTGGGGGATTCGAATGCCCTGCCAATTTGGTATCGAGAGGGGCATCAACCCCAGCACAAGAAGGGGTTCCGCGGAAATCTAAGTAGTATATATATTGTATCATACTTGTATTATATATGATACTATAATATAGTTTGATGCTTGTGCCAAATGATTCACCCCAGTGCACGTGCTGCAATCAAATGTTGGTAGGTGGCTCAATGGGAAAGATCTCAGAGCTTCATAAACAGTCTTTTCCTCAAAGGTGCCCGCATTTCCCAGACTGCTAAGGCACCTTCATTCACCTAACCACTTGCTTCATACAAGTCACCTTCGGAGAGTTATTCCGGACCAACAACCCCAACTGAAGGTGCTAGAGTGCCTAGCTTTCCTTGTCTCTCATCAGGGCTTTGCAGCTTCCTCACTGCTTCAGTGAGGAAAAGCACTTGTCAAGACATCACGATTTCAGTAAGCTGGCAGGCTGGCAGGCTGTTCCCAGGCCGTTTTGATCAGTTTTGTGTATTTGTTCCAGTTCACAGGGATGAGACATCTATTCTATTTCAGGGAAGCCTGAATGGACATGCTCGGGGCAACCAGTGACTGTTCCTTGCCAGGCGATATCATGACTTCCGAGCAGAGCAGCAGTGAGATGCGGTGCTTGATTTTCGCCTGAGAGCTAAGGTGATGTACAAACACCGAGCGGAAGACATCATGAGTCATGGCCATGATTTCGGGTCCGGGGACTGACCTGGGGTATGATCAAGCAACTAAATCTTGATCATTCATGAGTTGTCCAACAGCCCATCAGTCTCCATGGTTTGGACCCTCATTTCGAGTGCTGCCAGACCCGGCCTCAGTCAGTGGGCTTCGCGAGGCCGCGGGAGGACACCGATGGCGCTGTGGTCCTTCGGTGTGTCTCGACCACGGGCATCAGTAGGAGAACCGGCCCAACCGGACCTGCGGCGAAGGCCCGGACCCAGCGGCCAACGGGGGCCGGACCCAGGCCGAGCAGCCGCCATGTTTCAGGACGCGCGCAGGGAGACACTCCTGATGCGGAGACACTCGTGGCGGCCACATCGTGGACAGGGGTGTTGCAGATGGACTTCCGATCCAGCTGAACCATTTGTTTGGGACATTGAAAGTCACTGAAGCCTACTGCTCCCAAAAGCAGACTTTGAGTGGCTTCTGGGAAACTGTTTGGGAAGATTTTGGAACCAAAGAGGTTCTTAAGTGCTTGCCAATCCTTGTATATCCCGACGCCTGGAGGGTGGCCCCTTGATCCAAGTGCAGTCCTTCAAGGTGGATGATCCAAGTCTCAGGAGGCTTCCTGAGTCTTCAAGCACCTGCTCCTCCATTTCCTTTCAACCAACTCTCCCCCAAAGACTACTACTTACATCTACTTACTACCTTCCCCCCCCCAAAAAAAGGACCTAGTCACACCAGCATTCCCAACTGAGAGTCTCGTGTCCATTGGACCTGTCCGGAGGGTCGGCCGGGTCACCCAGGTCCTGTTGACCCGCTTCGGCGTTCAGATGTGCTTGCAACAGGCACTGGCGGGGAAGCCGGGGAAGCCGGGGAACGAAGCTCCCGGAGGTGCCACAAACAGGACGAAGACGAAGAGACCCTTCTTAAACCCTTACTTCGAACATTCTCTAGAAGTGAATCGGAAAATCCGGAGTGATGAATCACTAATCACAGATTGATCATGCATGGATCATTATTAATCCCAACAACAGGGAACTCTATACTCTATACAAGCCTGGAAGAATTGGTGTTTAATCATGTTTAATCGATTTTCTATATACTGTAAATACATCATTCTTGGACACGGTCTCAAAGTTGTTGCAGAATCTCCCAGGGGAGATCGTGGTTTTGTTTGCTTTCCAGCCGAAGCCGATTTGTTTCTTCATGTGAGAGATTTGATGGCTCCAAACCGCAGAGTCAGGTGTGAGGCAAGGGGTTGCTTAGCAGTGGGAAAAAAGGACACGAAAGCCAACAAGCAAGGGGTTGCTTTGTTGGGTTAAGGTGAAGGTGGTCACGAATCACCACGTGCTATTTTGCATGAAAAACAGATCCCACCATTGCATAGTGCGCTTTGTTTCAAGGTCATGGACACCACCTTTTCTTCCGTCTTCTCCGCCGTTGGTTTCTCGCCTCGATCGGGCGAGGCGGCACAGTTCACCGTCTCAGCCGCCTTCGCCTCCCGCGTGGCAGTGCCCTCCTTGGCCTTCACCTTGCACCTCGGCGGTTCGCCTTTGTTCGCCTGGAAGCTGAATGACCTCAATTTTGGACCACGAACCACCCAAAATATGGCCTGTTCCTATCAAAGCAGGGGTCAATTGGGTTCCAGGCATGCATAGACTCTTTTCGAGGGTCCACGGTCCACCGACATCGCCGCCTTTTCGTGGGACGTGCATGGGCCGTGGGGTCCAGGTCACCTGGTCCGCTCAAGAGCTCCGCAAAATATATCGACATATGGTTTGTATTTTTTTTTAAGGTTCCCGGGCCGGGATGTTTGACTATGGGGTATGCTTCGGAGGTATGCTTCGGGGGTATGCTTCGGGGTATGCTTCGCGCAGTGTGAAGACTAAAGTAGTAGCATTTTCAGAGGGTATGCTTCGGGGTATGCTTTTCCTAAGTCGAACATCCCAGCCCTACATAAACTGGACACCTCAAAAAAAAGAAAAAACACATAACCTATGGAGCGTTATGTACATGTGGAGCGTATATTCTGTACCCAAAGGTAGGTCATTTGCACCAATGGAGTGACTGGGCTGGGTGGAAGGGAAGAGACATGTATCGTGCACCGCTCACCACTTCGTCACAGGTTCGCCACTCGCAGTCACAGCCTCAGGTGTTTGCCCTCGCAATTCCAGGAAGCCATTCATACTGTCAAAGCGGTGCGCCAGTTCGCGTGCGGTATCCGCGCGCGTGGGAGAGGCACCTCTGTGTGAGGCCAACCTGAAAGGCATGAGGCCAAGTGGAAAAGCATTGAACATTGAAACCCTTGCTGTTGATACCTGAAATATCCTGAAATTGAAATACATTGGGTGTGCCTTATGTAACTAGTGCCCTTGCTTGCAATATGTCAGTAGCACGTTGAATGTATTGAATGTATACTGGCCAAAGTATATGCCTATTCAGTCCGGCATTTTTTGCAGGGTCCGGCGCCGGACTTCCAACCCCAGCGTTTTTCTGGATTTGGTCCGGCAGTTTTTCCAAGTCACTTTATGTGGATTCTCAAGGCTTTGCATTCTTTGTGGTCCGCATTTCTTTGAAGGTAATATCCACTACTGACGAACAAATATGCTTGAAATTGTGTTCTTTTGCATGTTCCGCTGTTTTCTCATTCCACCGGTTTCAGCAATGGTTCACACTGGCTCAATCAGATCCCTTTAGGTGATCTTCTCAATGAATTCGCTTTGCACGCGTACCTAAGCTGAAAGAACATAGGCAGTAATGTATTCCCATTGTTTCAGGATGTCGGGGCGCTGGGAAATAGTTCTAGCAGCTACGCAGGTTTGCAGAGCCTGCCGGACAAGTTTTGGGTTGTGGAACGCGTGTTGTTCAGAATCTCAATGTTTCGAAGAGGGTTGCCAAAAAAAGGGGAGCGTCGTAACTCCGGCATAATTTCCCGTAACTCCGGCGTCAATTCCCGTAAATCCGGCGTAATTTCCCGTGCTCCGGCGTAATTTTACGGACTCAGTCTTGTGCAGGTTTTGAGTGTTGAAGGCTTTGACTGGAAGCATGAGTTCTGCTACGTTGATTAAGGGGTCGAGGTCCTGAGGCAAACTGAAAAAATCCTGGAGAGGAACCCACTTTGTAAAAGAGCTTTAGAGACACGGTTGCGGAGAGAGGGGGGGGCCCTTGACACATACTCCTTGGCTTGTTTTTGATGTCTTTTCTTGGGCACAAGTTTGCTTATATTTTGTGAAGGTTCTGCTCTTAGGCATGTCGGAAGATGGGCGAGGGCAATGGTAACGGGAAGGCTCCAGTGATTGGGTTGTGGAATGAGTGTGTTCCAGAAAACTATATACTCGTGGCGCAAAGGCAATTTGCTGGTGTATGATCCAACCTTTCATCATCTGTGTTTTTCAATTCAAAATCTTGGATCCGGATGTTTTTTTCAGGTTCTCGGCGTTTGTTTTTTGGGAATTTGGCGGAAAGGATTGAGGTCCGGCATTCTTTTTGGCCAGGAGGATCCAGGTATAGCCTCATACTGATCAGTCCCTGTTTTTGGTGTACTCCAAGGAAGCACCTCTCACACCTCAAAAGATGAACCTGTTTTGCTGGACACACTCACCCGTTGGAGGCTTCCACCACACCCCGAAGCCGCTGCGCCCCGCCTCGTGCGAGAGCTGCTTGGACTCCCTGGGCTTCCCAAGGGACCGTCGGTCCGGTTGGACGGTGACCATTGCACTCCCATGGCTTTCGAAGATTGTTTGCGATGGTCTTCAAGTGGACTCCCTGTAGCCTGGACACGCCCAGACGCAATGGTCCTCGTGTTAGCCTCAACTCCTGCAGTAGTTCGCCCAAAACTGTGTGTGTGTGCCCCACCCTGTACCAAAGGGTCCCACTCGATTCCGATTTTATTTAAGCAGGGGCGTGTGACACTCTTATCCTCTCACACGCAATGAAGCTGTGGATAAGAGTGGGAAGGGTAACTTGGCCGGTTTCCTGTACCTTCATGTAGCGTCCCTGGATGACTAACCCATTAAGTTGGGGTCATAGCTGGGAGCTACCGTGACTTTTCTGCATGCCATTAACTAGTTTCCGGAATCCTTTGTTGAAACACCTACAAGTCGCTGACCTACCACCTTTCCGTTCTGCACTAAGTAACCAGTCAAGTGCATTGCATTCGTGGATTATCACTCGCAATGAATTCTATCGAAGTGCGTAACTAACCCTTGGATTCATAGGGGATACCTATCAAAAAAACTGATTCCTATCAATAATACAATTGTTTCCTATCAAAAGACAGTAATTCGTATCAAAAATAGAATTACCTCTACTCCTTTGGTCCTGGCCTGCTGGTTCCCTGATCGCTTGGTCCTTTGCTCCCTTTGTCCTGGTCCCCTGGTCCCTTGGTCCTCTGGTCCCTTGGTCCTCTGGTCCCTTGATCCTCTGGTCCCTTGGTTCCCTGGTCCCTTGGTCCTTTGGTCCTCTGGTCCCTTGCTCCTCTGGTCCCTTGGTGCTCTGGTTCGTTGGTCCTCTGGTCCCTTGATCCTCTGGTCCCTTGGTCCTCTGGTCCCTTGGTCCTCTCATCCTCTGGTCCTTCGTCCTGGTCTTCGGGTACTTGGGTCTGCGCTTTCGAGGCAAGACGCGTTCAAGGTGATTTGGAAATCTGGTCATACATCCTGTGAAGCACTGTAGCAGGCCTTTTATCACCAGACGTAGCAGACCTTTTTTGTGAGCCACCCTGACGGTATAATTTGAACGAAGAAGGTGCCACTCCAAGGTAGCAAACCTTTTGTCAGCCACTGGAGGGCAAAATTTAGAAGAAGAAGGAACCATTCCAACGTAGCAAGCCTTTGTTTTGTGAGCAACCGCGCCTGCCACGCAATCTGCACTTCGAGGTTCAAGTGCTGCGCCTGCAATGAAATCTGCAGTTCCAGTGCACAAAGTGCTGCGCCTGCCACGAGCCCTGCAACCGAAGGTGCTCAAAGTGCTGCGCCTGCCACGAAATCTGCGCATCCAGATTCACATCGCGCAGCGCTGCCAAGGTGGCAGGCGCAGCTCTTTGTGAAAAGATATTTTGTTTTTGATACTAATTAATTTTCTTCTTGATAGGATATAGAAAATTTTTTGATATATATTTGTTTTCTTTTTGATAGCCCGACCGATTCATAGCTAGCCAATTGGTTTTTATTTTGAGTGCAGGGGACAGTAGCCCTCTCATGAGGCTACTGCCAACGAAGCTACTCATGAGCTTGGGAGGATATCAGGGTTGATCACCCTGACGTACCTGCGTTGTGACTTTCACTACCTACTCGGCCCCTGCTGGTACAGTAATTATAACAAGACTTCGTCCACGGCTCTGGTTCTGCAGTAAAAGGCTCATGAGTTCTGCAGACTTGAACGAACTAAACACTTTCTGTGAACTTTTGATTTTGATCACTTGCACTTGTTCCACCTGTTCATGTAGGCCATTTGGATTACTGAAGCTGCTTCATTGCAAGTGGCATTCAGACCGTACATGCTTTAATCCTGGGTGTGTTTTTGTTCTTTCATTGATGTTCAATGTACGGGAAGAGTACTTAATGTAAGTGTTTCCGCAACATCTCATGCCGAGGATGATTTTTTCATGTTTATCAATCTTGTGTTTGAACATGAACTGTCTGACTTGGAGTCACGTTGATCACACTGACAACTCTTCGGGTGAGTGTGTACCAAGCAGTGAAAAACAACATCATATTCCCAATATGGTTTTTGCAAAAATGCATCAAAAAGTTTGGAAAAACAACTCCAACCGCTCCAACTCGCCAGGTGATGCTCTTCTCCAACTGCTGCGCCAGCGCGCTGGGCGAACTGTTGCGGGACTGCGCCAGCGATTTCCGGGCTCGTGGGTGGTCCCGATGCCACAAAGTGCAGACCAGCATCTCTTCCGATTACCCTCCGTTCACCCCAGTGAACTACTTCGTTTGTGGATTGTGGAAAAGATTGAAACATTTGGCACTGAGCCAGGGTGGATTAAATGTTGGTTCGTCATTTTGTATGCCTGTTAACTTGAGGTGACTTTTGCTTTTGGACACCTTTGAATTCGCCTTTCACAAATTGAATTGTGAAAGTGGACGGCCCGTTGAAAAACGCCTGTCATCTTCCGGCCACATTGCCCCTTCGGGCCCTTTGGTTCAAACTGTGAGAACTGGCATGGGACCCATCGGTCCTGTTGGAATCCCATGTTGGATCTGTTTCAAGAGATCAAAGGGTTAAACCCACAACCTCACTCTGGGTACGGGGGCACTGTATGGATTTCGGGCGACGTCGCCGTTTGGTGTCTGTATAAGAGATTAATAAGAGGTCAGACATTTGACACAAGTACTGACAAAGCAAACGTGCAATATGTGTTTTTTGGTTTCAATGTATTTCATCATCTTTCTGCCCGCCCAGTTTTCACCCCTACTTGCACCATTCCCTGCTTCTTGCTGCATGCAACTGGTCAGCTTGTTCTTGTCATCAGTGAAATCATTGGCGCATTGCGCACACAAGCAGTTCAACATTCAAGGTCAAATGCAGAATTAATATGCACACATGCAGATTGAAGCACACGAATAGGTCGCCGGCGGCGTTCTGACGGGCCGGTCGCTGGAGCCCGTGGAAGCCGCGTCGAGGACGGGGACTGGGTGCCGCTGAAGGTCTTGTTCGACTTGTCCGCCCTGGGCCAGGCACGGACTGGGCCGCAAGGGCTCGGATGCACGCGGTTTCGAACTGCAGATGCGAGAAGGGCGTTTGGACATGAGAGCATATTTCCAAGATTTAGGAGCTGGATGCTGTAGATTTGCTGTTTTGCTTTCCTATGATTTGGCTGCGGGTCAAAGCCAGGAGAGCCTGGTTGACCACCAAAAATGAACAAAATGGACTACCTAGCTTTCTGGGTTCAAGTACCCTTGAGCTTACGCCTCACGGGGGCCGGGGCCTGTTCGACTGCCTCGCGGCGGTGGGCAGGTGTCCACAGAGTGGACTTCTCCTGTCCACACCTTTTCCACTTAGGCAGATAGGTTCTTTGCACCCCTTTGGATAGAGCCATGGACTTAGATCTGCTGTTGTGTGATTTGGAGGATCCCTGGAAGTCGCGTGCCAGGGCTCTGCTCCATGGTGTGGAAGACGGCCCGGCATTGCGCTGGGAACACTACACGATCCTTGCTGGCACGTATCGGGCCCAGGCACACGACATCTTCGATGTTACCCTCATGCACTTTGTTGCTGGCTGGGGCTTTTCTGGGGAGACGATGAGTGAAGCCAAGATCTGCATCCACGATGCGCACAAGCGGTCTTTGAACTTGATTGCAGGCGACCCCTTTGTCTGTGCAGGCCTTTTCATGACTCGGAATGACGGACTTTGGACTGGGGACCACCGTGCCATCTTCCTGAAGAAGACCTTGCCAGTGCCTGACGAAGCGATTGAATGTTTGCATATCTTTTCAGGTGCATTTTCCGGCTGGGGGCAAGCCCTTAGCTCACTGCCGCGTTTCTGCTCCAACCTTCGACTGGGTACGCAAACGTTTGTTGATGTGGATGTTGAAGTCACCAATGCACTTGCACACAAGCATGGATGCAATGTCACGCCTGCACCAGTTCAGGCTAGTGCTGTATTTGAAGTGTCCCTTCACAAAGTTGTGAGGGCTGAAGTTGCTGACCCTTGCCTACTGCACGTTGTGCAGCCGTTGGCCAACTTCATTTTTACAGCATCGCCCCCTTGCATTTCATGGAGCCGAGGAGGCCTTGGAAGAGGCCTGAACTGTTTGGAAGGGTGGACGTTTCTTGACTGTTTAAAGCAGTGTGCTTTCGGCCAACCCATCATTTTGAACCTGGAGTGCGTGGACGAGCTTGCGCGTCATGCTCATTTCCCAATCATTCGGCACCTGTTGCATACCATTGGCTACCGCACACTTTGGGAGGGCACTCTCCCATACAGTACTTTTGCACATATGCAACGCACTCGATGGCTTGCCGTGTATGTCAAGTCTGACCTGTTCTCGTGTGTTGAGAGCCAGCCTGATCCGTTTCGTGCATTTAGGTATGAGCAATGGACTTCGGATGTCTTTCGATTTCAGTTGCCTCGCAGTCTCCGTGAGAAGATTGCCCTTTCGCAGCCTGTCCAAGAGCTGTATGGACTTCATTCGCTTTTGCCCCCTGCAAAGCGTTTCAAATTTGCACCTGACACGCCTGTGGAGACCATCATTCGTTCGAGGTTTTTTGCAACCGCATGAACCTGTCCCTACTGTCTGTGCATCATATGGCTTTCAGCATGAACTAGCGAGGTCATGTCTTGAGCAGAAGGGCATCTTTGCTACACTTCGTGAAGGAGACTTTGGACCTGAATTCTTGGATCCTGCTTTGCTGGCTGGTCTTCTTGGTCTGCTTGAGACCACCGTCTTCTCTTCCAAGCTTGATGTGCTCTACCGGCAAATTGGGAATGCAATTGCTACACCGCATGCACTCTTTGTCCTCCTCCAGGGCTTCAAGTATCTCTTCCACTGGCCCTCTGATGTCGTACAGATCATCAATGACGTGTGGAATGCTCGACTCACTGGCCCCAGGACAATCATCATCGAAGAGGGCAACTTCTACATATTTGCCGACACCCCGACCATCATTGAGGGCATCTGTGTTCGGAGTGAGGTCACACTGCATCCAGGGTGTCTCAACATTTGCTGCATTCACAAAGGAGGACGAGCTGTTGATCTCGTTGCCTGCCGGGATTGGTCCGTCAATGACCTTTTGGGTTGCTTCACCTGGGATTTCAATATTGCGGGCCATATCTATCTTGCTGCGATTGGTGAGAACATCCCTCCCCGAGTTCGACTTTGGCAGCTCTTCGACCAGTACCCACACTGGACTGTCCTCATCCAAGGCTACCCAGTTGCGACTCTCCAGCTTGGTTCGAAAGCCACTGCACTGTGCCCACTGACGCAACCGTGGCCAGCCTCTGATTCGCCACATCTGAATGTCCAGCAGACAACTGACCGGACACCAACTCAGCTATGCCTTGTCGAGGACCATGTGCTCTTTGAGGATCGGCATTTCCATTTCGCTGTGGAGTTCATTGAAAAGCATTGCTTGGCCACTCCTTGTCATACCTCTCCAGACCTGACCATTGCCTTTGGATCACTTCCGTGTACTATCACCTTGACCGGTCTCTCACTTGAAGCTGATCGACTTCGCTGTGTCCAAGATTTTTGGTCGTTTGCTGATGAGGATTCCAATCAGCTTGCCTTCAAGCTCATTGACCATGGCCACCTTGTCTCTGCTGCACCGTGTGCTGTTATCTTCAACAAGTACATGGAGGAGAGGCTCATCTTTGTCATGTTTGAGAACGGTGGGGCGCTGTGTGGATTCTTTCTGGCTCCCAGTCTTGAAAATAGCTCCTTCAAGATTGACTCCAAGCTCTACATGATCGCTGCACTCAATGGACAGGAAGTCTCCAATTATCCTGTTCAGCTTGACCATGGTGACTTGCTGCACCTCCGAATTTCTTCCGATGTCTCTTGTGGAGGGCATCATGGGGCTCGAACCGACACTCTGCCAGCTGGAGCCAACCTTGTCCAACGTGCAGAATTTGCGAGCAACACGGGTGGCTGGCTTGCTACTGATGAGATGGACTTTGCACTACGCCAATTCGCCTGGCTTGCCCCGGACTTTGCGGTCATCCATCCTATTGTCCGCTGGAATCTCGAAACTGCGAACTTGGAAGAGAATGACTACCAGGAGATCATGATTGCAAACAACCGGCTCAATGTTTTGCCCATCCTTTCGGGTTCTCACTGGCTGGCCTTTGAGATTCAGCGGGATGGGGTCTCCACACACGTCACTTTTGTGGGCCTTCCGGGACCTTTGCTTCGCTCTGGATTACAAGTTGTGGCAAGACTGTTGGACATCTCCCCTGACCGATTGCAGTATAGCCATGTCCCTCTTGATGACTCAACTCACTTTTGCGGCTGGGCATTACTGCGCAGGTGGGCTAATGCAGCTGGTATCTTTGAACAGATCCCTCACAATGCAGAGCTCTATGGCTCCACCTCAATCGCTACCCGTGCTTTGATTGATGATGTCGTTGAGGATGCTATTGAGGATTGGCATCAACATGGTATTGCACATGGTCTTTGGTACTTTGCTGCAAGCATTCGAAGGGCCTTTTTCAGCTTCCTTGCCACTACCACTATTCGAGGCAATGCTGTCACGTCTGATGCCCTCCATGTTGTGTTTGATGATGCTGGCCATGGTCCTGATCGGGCAGAGAAACCCTTCATTCACATTGACAGCCCTGACAGCCACCTTCATCATCGCATCCAACATTTCAACCACTACCCTGGGTGGCTTGGGTCTGATGAGCTTGACTTCATCCTCCAGACAATCCGCTTTGTCCGACCGCAGTGCTGCTTCATGCCACCTGGTAATTGGGATTTTGCCACTGGCCACATTGTCTACTTTAATGATGTGCACAGAGACTTCCGTGCCTACCAACATGTGACCTGGTTTGTCCTCATTGACCAGTGCTGGACACAGATTGATGCAGACAGGAACGATGAATCCATTGTCCTCTTTATGAGCCTCCCGGATGCCCATGCTCATTTGGCTGGGCCGCTGGCTACTTACATCATGTCCCAGATTGACGAAGCTCAGCTGACTTGCCAAGTGCACATCATCAGATGCAATCCTGAACCCAATATGTGTGGTTGGGTCCTACTTCACTCCCTTTGCGAGAGACTTCGGGTTGCCATTCCTCCGCTTGCAAGTGAGACCCAACAGGCCATCAACCTCTCCAGGTTCAGAGTCCATATTCGGAGCACAATTGAGAGAGCCAGAATTGTGTGGCAACTGTCCTCATCGTTTCCAAGAATCTCCAACTTTGCTGCTCTGGTGCGGACGAACTTTCTTCACCACCTCCTTGCTGACAGAGGAGTGCCACAATATGCAGCTGGTGGAGGGACAGAACACAAAGACACCACCACCAAGCCAGAAACAGGTACAGCGAAAGTTGACCAGCTGCAGATTGACGATCCTTGGGCCCCAAAGAATGGCAAGCAGAAGAACCCCAAAAAGCTCTTCCAGACGAGATGGGAAGACCTCACGATGCCGGCCGACCATCCGCTCATTGATGAGAAAGGCATCCCAGTCCCACAAGTTCACCGTCTTCAGGCTGGTGCAAAGAAGGCTGGAGCTGTTCTTGCTACCAAATCCGGTATTGCTGAGCTTGCTCGCATCACGCCGTGTGCCACCATGGTTGCCATCCTTCCTGGGAATGACAAGAACCAATACATTGATCTTGGCCTCAAAGTTACTGGACCTTATGAGCTCGTCCTGGAAGATGTGCAGGCCAAGACTGCTTACAAACGCCTCGTCATTCTTTGGCAGCTCCATGGCTCCGTCACCTACAAGCTCCCTGACCCAAAAGTGCAACTGACTGCTGCAGAAGTCGCTGAGCTTGTTATGGATGCGGATTCACGTCTCCTTGGGCCGCAGATCACTGAGCAGGCGAGTCAGCAGCATATCTCCTTCCTGAAGCACCATTTTGGAGTGCTGCACCCTGATTTGACTGACAAAGTCAACATGTATGCCTTTCGGGTTGTGAGGCACCCCTCAGCTGGCAAAGATGACAAGAATTTTCAGTGTATCATCAAAGTTCCCGTCACATATCGCCAGACCATCCTCAAGTCCAGTGGTA